ACATATTATAATAAAAAATAAGTAAAGGGTGGTTTGAGGTAGAGCCAGGGGTGGTCGGATGTGACTTGTGCTGTCACACAGCAGCAGTGACAGTGGAGAGCAGCAGTGGCCCCAACAGAGAATCCTGTGAACGGTAGAAGGAGTTGGTGGCCTCTTCGAATTGAGAGGAAGAGAGAGAGAGAAAAGGATCGTAAGGTGCTGGCCCTTTTTTCGCTTCATGTGCAACATCCAGGTAGAGATGTCTTTTGGCTCAGTGGATGGAGCGTCGGTCTGCGGACTGAGCCTCGCTCTCTGAAATAAATAAAAACATATTATAGTAAAATAAGTAAAGGGTGGTTTGAGGTAGAGCCAGGGGTGGTCGGATGTGACTTGTGCTGTCACACAGCAGCAGTGACAGTGGAGAGCAGCAGTGGCCCCAACAGAGAATCCTGTGAACGGTAGAAGGAGTTGGTGGCCTCTTCGAATTGAGAGGAAGAGAGAGAGAGAAAAGGATCGTAAGGTGCTGGCCCTTTTTTCGCTTCATGTGCAACATCCAGGTAGAGATGTCTTTTGGCTCAGTGGATGGAGCGTCGGTCTGCGGACTGAGGGGTCCCGGGTTCGATTCCTGTCAGGGGCACATGCCTGAGCTCGATCCCCAGTGGGGGAAGGGGGTGAGAGGTGGCCGGTTGGTGGTCCTCTCTCATCATTGAAGTTTCTGTCTCTCCCTCTCCCTTCCTCTCTGAAATCAATACAAATTATATATATATTTTTTAAAAAAGGAAATATCTTTTAGACGTGAGTGCAGGAATGCGATCTGGCTGGAGGCTATATGTCTTGGGTGGCAGTGCAGTGATGTAGGGGGGTCAGGAGACATGCTTGCAAGCGGAGTGACTGAAGGAGGGCACTTCAGGGACGGAGGCATGTAGGGGTGTGGAAACCCGACTTAGGTTTGGCGGGAGTTGAGGAATCTCAAGTCCTCGTAAACAGCCCGCCCCCCGCCCCGAGGTAGGAAGCAGGGTGGGCTGGCTGGGGAGGAGGCAGAGCAGGTTGGGAATGGCCGGGGCGCGGAGCTGGAGGGCAGGAAGGCGGTCGGCAAGAAGCCTTCCCTGGGGGGAGATGCCAGAGGTCCCGGCTGACATGGGAGACAATCCGTTTCTAGTGGCGTCTGCCTGCCTGGTTGTATGACTTCTGCTTCTCCCACCCCCACCCCCCAAAAAAACACCTTTGAGGTTCTACATTGCATCCTGAGCCCCCCAACTTGGAGCCTTACTCATTTCATGTGCCATTTGCACCTCGGGACACGTGGGTCCCTGTCGGTCTGTGTCTGCGTGGAGACTGGATGTAAAAGGCCCTCGTCATTTTATTTTTTTTTAAATATATTTTATTGATTTTTTACAGAGAGGAAGGGAGTGGGATAGAGAGTTAGAAACATCGATGAGAGAGAAACATCCATCAGCTGCCTCCTGCACACTCCCCACTGGGGATGTGCCCGCAACCAAGGTACATGCCCTTGACCGGAATCGAACCTGGGACCCTTCAGTCTGCAGGCCGACGCTCTACCCACTGAGCCAAACCGGTTAGGGCGGCCCTCGTCATTTTAAAGCTCTTTGAGGTCTGACCGAGGCAGGGAGTGTATGGCTCATTTCTTTTTCTGCTGTGAGTTACATGTCTGCAAAGCTCGTTGAATACACTTTGCCCTAAAAGCTCATTGAATACACTTTGCCCTGGCCGATGTGGCTCAGTTGGTTGAGCATCATCCCGTGCACCGAAAGGTTGCCGGTTCGATTCTGGTCGGGGCCTGTGCCTGGGTTGCGGGCTCGATCCCCGGTGGGGAGCGTGCAGGGGGTAGCCGATATTCCTCCCCCACATCAATGTTTCTCTCTCTCTCTCCCCCTCTCCCTTCCTCTTTCTCAAAAAATCAATAAAAATAGCCCTGGCCGGTTGAGCTCAGTGGACAGCGCATCGGCCCATGGACCGAAGGGTCCCGGGTTCGATTCCGGTCAAGGGCCTGTGCCTCGATTGTAGGCTCCATCCCAGCCCTGGTCGGGAGACAACCAATCAATGTGTCTCTCTCACATCGATGTCTCTCTCTTCGCTCTCTCTCTCTTTCCAGCCTTGCCCCCTTCCTTCTACTCTCTCTAAAAATCAATGGAAAAATATCCTCAGGAAATATCTCTCTCCAAGCACCCTCCACTGCCATATCGTATGCATTTGAACTTGAGCAGGTGGAGTTAGGATGTGGTCCCATGGTACCATCGTCTAAGTGTGCCTGGTTCCCATGAGTCTTTGCAGCCCCCCACTTCTGTCTGTGGTTAAATGTTGTGAGTGTGGCTGTGGTTCCTCCTGAACACTTGTTACTATGAAGCAGGAAAGTAATCATGTCCTGGTTTGATCTAGCAACTTTGTTGGAGGATTCGTTAAACAGCAGGCACTATTGATACATGAGAAAGAGATACGCAGAATCCTCGAGTTAAATTCCAGAAATACTAATAACGTGACATTCAGAGAAAAGGTCGCTTATTTTTACCTGGAAAAGTTTAGATATTTTATGTAAGTTGAGAATTATGGGAAATTCTCAAATTTTAACAAAGATACAATTATATCCAAACTCAATTTAAATTTTAAAGATTTTTATCATTTAAAAAGCTAAGCAGGTAAAACTTGAAATTGCAATATGCGTCTCATGTCTGAGTCTCTCCAAAGACGGGTCTATTTTAAGGAGTTTTCTGTGTGTATGTGTGTGTGTGTGTTTTTAATATATTTTATTGGTTTTTTACAGAGAGGAAGGGAGAGGGATAGAGAGTTAGAAACATTGATGAGAGAGAAACATTGATCAGCTGCCTCCTGCACACCCCCTACTGGGGATGCGCCCACAACCAAGGTACATGCCCTTGACCGGAATCGAACCTGGGACCCTTCAGTCCGCAGACCGATGCTCTATCCACTGAACCAAACCGGTCAGGGCTATTTGTTTTTTTAATGTGTCTATTTATGGGTATTATTACTATGGAAATCAGTTGGGGGAGGGGAACTGACTCCTCTGCAGATTTTTATTTTTGAGAACTTTTTTAACATATGTTTTTACTGATTTTTAGAGAGAGAGAGGAGTGGAGAGGGAGAGAGAGATGGAAACATCAATGATGAGAGAGCATCACTGATCGGCTGCCTCCTGCACGCCCCGCACTGGGGATCGAGCCCGCAACCCGGGCCTGTGCCCTGACCGGGAATCGAACCTCCTGGTTCCTAGGTCGACGCTCACCCACTGAGCCACACCAGCCGGGCTTGTCTCTGGTGCTTTAGTTGAGTGTGGCAGTGAAAGAGAGTTAAAACCTGCATTCCTGCCCTTGACATCCCTGTTCCCACCCTCGGGGCAGGTGCCATGTTGTAAATGATGGTTTGGATCCATAGAAGCTGCCGTTTGGGGCAACTAACGGGCAGATTTGTTAAAATGCGTGTTTACAAACCAGCTCCCAGCGACCCCAAATGTGGCCGGTTTTTCCTGTCCTTCATTTTCACCCCATGCTGGTGACTCCCCTGCGACTTTTCTATCTTTCTCCCTCCTCCTCCTCCTCAGACCTGCACATACATCGTTGCCCCTCGAGGACACGGTGTCACTGTAGGGCCTGTTCTCTGGTCTCGGTTTTCCTATCTTTCACGCGCTCGCTCGTGGGCTTTTCTGTAGAGATAGGATCCCTTCCTCCCCTCTTGCTGGGAACAAAAAGGGGGACACATTGAGACAAGATACGCTCCCATGGCAACAAGAGATTGGCAGTCAGAAATCTGGAAAAGTTTTAGCCTCGGCTAAAATACGAGGAATCGGGCTGCTTTGGGGGAGTTTGGAGACGAAGAGTTCTTGAAGTTAGATTAAAAGCAGCT